CAATACCATGAGTGGCAGGTGGCTGAATTTTACGGAGACTTGCCACGGTCTCCAACCCTCTTCCTTTCTCCTCCGGCTTGGGACCGGCCATGGCGGAGCATGGACTCATTAAATGCTAATTCCTTCATAACACTTCTCAATACATTCTAATCAACGTCGCCAGTAGCCAAATTCTCACTTTATCCACGATGCTAATTAAATTCATTTTCGCAGCTAATCCCAATATGTAAGTACGATGCTTTATAAGCAACTCACGTTTGCAATTTACCTCCTCAAAAGAATCAAACTGAAAGACTGGTGAGATGAGGCAACAGGAAATGGTTCAGTGTCATCTTTCATACTGCTTGAACATCAGTACCGGAAAATTCGAAATAATAATGTCCAACGAACTAGTATCAAGTCCTCATTCATCCTAACAGACTATGAGATTTGTTTCCGTCATACGATATGACAAGAATTAAATCGTTTCAGTAAATACAACAATGTACATATTTAAAGCAAATGGTGGCTAAGTAAAATGTTTGATTCAAGCGTACCTAGTATCCCAGACATCATGTCTTCCCAGTTCATTGATCATAAGGTAGAAGGTCTAGTACAGTGATTAGTGCTACTGCTTATGGTTTAATAAGAGTCAAAAGTATGATAAAACGTGGTCCCAATTAACGATGAATTGAGAAGTATAGTATTTTAGTGTCCATGCGGCTGTTTTGCATATTCTGACTCAACATATTCTGGTGAAAACAACACAGAACACGGATTTTCTGTACAGAACGGCCTGTGCGCTTCAGTGCCCTTGGCTGTCGACTTGTGAACCATTGCGAACGACAGAAAAACTTCCACAGTATAATCATCTCTTCACCTTAAAGAAGACCTGTGAGACATTTGCCAAAAGGCACTGGTATATCATCCAATCGGCCAAACTTTTGCATTGTGTATAAATAAACAGTGTTTTATGCTGTTCTCAGTATGACCACAAGGGCACAAGCCAAATATTTAAAACATCTTGGCGTTGTGCCAGAATTTTGTTATTCATAAACATACATTCATCGTTAAACTCAAACATACCGAGCAAACTACTTTCCTGTTCATGTAAAACATGAAAGGACAAAACAGTTTTATTGAACATAACCATAACTTCATAACTTAACTTTATATAAACTTTGAAACAGCGCCAGATCATAAAGTATTTAGCTTTTCGAACCCCATAACCAACCCTTGACGAAACCTCTGATGCCGCCTTTCTGTTCGGGGTTGGTCGTCTCGAATTCGGCAAGTTTCTGGTCCAACGACGGAAACTGCAGATGCTCGAAAGCCAAATCAAAAAACATTGGTTTGCACGATATTGGTTCGTAATGCGGAGGCAGCTGCATCAGTTCGATTTTATCCAGTGATTTTGTAATTGTCGAAGGATCGTACCGACGGAAAGTATCCAGATCTTCGGCAATTGGCTAAAAGTGAGACACCCATGAGGAACCATGGAAGAAAATTTCCCCATAATAAACTAAACATTGATTTATCATTTTGAAAATACCGATTTAACCTCATAGAGAATCAATCAAATCGCTTAAAATACCTTCGTGTACGTTTCGGTCTGTGAAATGCCCTCCGGTGACCTCTCGTCACCACTGAAACAGTTGGCTAGCACTTGGAGTTTAGCAGCTGTCGTCTGATGACGTAAAACACTAGGATCATCAGACGATGCCTACATGAACGGAAAATCAAAAGAGAAATAATGAATAAATAATTAGTACCAGCTGGATGCTAGGGGTGCCATGAGGGTTGACGTCTTTGCTGATCTGTTTGATGTAACACAACGTCTGCTCATACAACGCCAATGACTCGCGCCACTTTCTTTGGGACGCCAGCACCTGAGCTACATGGAAGCATC